GATTGATCCATACAAAAATACTGGTGTAATTTGCTTCTACTTTGCTCTCGATCCTTTCTCCTAACTATGGATGTTTTTACTATGTGCTGAATTAGGCATCCACTATTAATGATAATGACGTAAAATCGTGCAAATCTATAGTTGAAACTTGAAATTCTATAGCATAAACTATTTATAGTTATAGTGGGGTTCGAATAATACTGCAAGCTATGTTGTAACATTTATTGCCACAGAAGAATTACATCGACAAACTAGCTATACGAACTAGTTAACATTTAATTAACTTAAAAGCTTAAAACCTTATGAAATCCTAGATTTTAACTCGCACTGCAGGATGATTTGTATTTTTAAAATTAGTGAATTTTAGAATTAGTGATTTTAAAATTTAATAATTATATATTATATATAAAAGTTTTCAAATTGTATCAATTTATAAAATATTTATATTTTATAGTTTACAATTTTTAATAACTAAAGGTATACCACCGGATAAATTTTGTTATATAGAATTTTATCTAAATCATGCTGATTCGATATGTCTAATATTGCTGGTGTTAAAAATAATAAAGAATAATTAACTCGTATTGAAGCGGCGGATTAATAATATTTTTTAATTTTTATTAATATTGTTCAAACCCGTCCCGCCATATAAACCCGTCCCGCTATATAAACTTGTCCCGTAATAAAACCCGTCCCCTATTATTTTAATTTAGTTATATGGTCAAATGTTCATAATATTATAAACTCTGTATTTATTTTAAATATATCAATTATAATTCTAAAACTTTTAAAAGTGTAAAATTTAATATTTCCGGTAAAATTAAACAGTTTAACTAAAACCCCGAATAAAACCGTATATAAAATTTCAAATTTGGATGCTTGTTAAGTTAACCTTCCTGCTCATTCGAATTTGGATTCATTTTGATCTTATATATAATATGACTCTGAATCATTCTCTAAACATTTTTTCCGATGTGGGACGTTGAACACACATCTTTTTCATTAATTGAGTAATATATGCCCGTTTTAAAAATTTCGAATCACAATATATGCGGAAAAAAATTTGAGAATTTTTTCTTAACTTTATGTATTATATGATGATTCAAAACAGTAAAAACAAAAATCAAACAAAGATAATCGGGGAATCATAATTTTTAATCTTAACCAATTCTTTTAAATATAAAATATTATATAGATATCTGGTTCACAATTTCGGATATGCGTTGACCTGATTTAAGTACAAAATGTACTTCAAAAATATTAATATAGATAGGAAAAGAAAGTTCAATAAAATAAATTTATAAAAAAGTCTAATTTAACCTTGTACCAGAAAAAAAATATATATTGGACAATATATTAATATTGATGATTTTAATATATTAATATTCTCATGGTGACCAAAATAAGAATTGATGATTTTTCTCCATTCCATCATTGAAAATTCAGAGGAAAGATCTGAAGTCAAAAGCAAACTAGATTGGGACGACAACGATATTTTTTTTAAATGCAAACTGAAGGGAAAAAAGAAAAGAAAGAGCAACGAAGAGATCTGTGTATATCAACTTCGTGAGGATAATCATCTGATTTGCTACATCTAAGACATGAAAGAATTGATTAGAGGTCATGATCATCGAATGATATGTGATTATGGTTCAATTATTCAGCCGTTTTTCATTTTGTTTCTTTTGTCATCACAGCCGACTTAATTTTGTACGATTCTCTCCCGTCCAAAACAAATGGGTTTCCCTTTAAACTTTTCATAATTTTATATCAAGACAAATAACAAGAATAAATGCCCTCATAAATAACCTTAAATGCCACCAAATGATTTGCTACACCAGCTTTATGATAAAGAAAAGTCCAAATCAATAGTATGAAAGAAAATAAATAAATTTATATTACTTTTTGTCAATAAAGAAATTTCTAATAAATTCGTAACTTGGAACAAGAGTTAGAGGACCAGAATACTCTCTTTGGCTTTAGAATCAGCCACGGTGCTATGAAAGAACCAAGCTTGATGTGATATTTCTTGCAGGATTATGAGTACGTTAATGACTTTAATTGTGTTTGTTTTAAAGTAATATCGAAACTTGTTAAAGTCAATAAACTTGAAATTCAAAATAAACGGGCAGTAACTAAAATAACTCATCTTCTTTATAGTAAGATATATAAAGCTATCTTCCATCTTATTCCCAACTTAGGATTTAGTACTAAGTTGTTTCCCCCGAATGATTTGCCGAACTCAAAGAATGCTATATAGGGTAGCCAAAAATATTGAGAAGCAATGTAATGCAATCTTCAAAAAGCTTATGATCATAATGATTAAAATAAAGATTTTCCAAATTGCAATATCAAAATCATATGATTTATACATATAGGTAATGTACCTAAGTTAGTAGAAGGTCCGGCATTGGTGATTTGTTTTTAATAGAAAGGAGAGTGATAAGAAATTAATTATGTCCTAATGATTGTAAGAGATGGGTGCACCAATTATTTGCGATGCTACGAGAACGTGGAATTGAACAGGGTGAGGATAAGGATGTTTTTATTTGTGTATTATTTATTTTTATGTTTTATGACAAAAATAAAATAAAATAAACGTGTAAAAAAGCTGACCTTGGGCCTCTTTGATGGGTAGGCTTTATTCTTCAACATCACCATCCTTACTCCTACGACTTCCCTGTGCATAGGGGATATTTTTCTTTTTTACTCATTTCTAAAACCATGAAAAAAAAAAGTGGTCAAGATTTAATTGGTGGTTTAGACGAGAGATCCAATCATTTTCATCCATAGATCTCTAAATATTAGGTTTTCTTTTACCGGTGATTATTAATTAGACATTCAAAATGGCAAAATGTTTTTGAGTGTTTACAAAACTTTTTTTTTGTTAAAATGTTTACAAAACTTGAAGAATAATTTAGGTTTCCATTTAAAATTCTTCCAATTAGCCAACCAAACCAAAAAAGATAGGAGTACAAAAAGTATTCACAAGATCTTGATTCACAATCTCAAGATCTTAATTAGCTTTTTGGCCCAAAAATATAATCTAACTTTTATAGGGCATTGTGATCCTATCAAATATATGATAAGTTCTTTACATACATGTGCATATATATATAGGGGCCGTGTAAGTTATTTGAACCAACAAATTAGCTCTCTTATACAATAAAGTACAATAAATCCAAACAGTTTTTTAATCCTAAAATTATATTTTGAAAACTGAAAGAAGATAATGTTTCCACGCTTTTTACCAACCGAATAAATCTAACTGAACCAAACCAAAACTTGAAGATGCGTATCCTACATTTTAATATTATATGAGAAAAAGTGGTGGAAAAATTATATGAAGTTTAAAACCAAAAAAATTATATAAAGTTTAAAATTATTGTAATTACTAATTAGGTAATCGGAATTTAAACCATATGCATCACAGCATCATCTTCATGTGAATACTACAATAGTTCAATACGATCGCATCAAAACCAATACCTAGGAAACACATGAGTTTATGATTTTAACCACCATACTCTTACTAGTAATATAATTCACCACTTGCATTTATTTTTGGAAGCAATGAAGATTAAATTGTGTATCAGAAATAATCGTTAATATATGTAACTATACTTGTTTCTAGTACAATGTTTATTTATCATGATTCACAGTATATCTAAAACAATTTTTTCTTGTTTAAATATATTTAAGAGTTCCCTCTCGCAGTCTGATTTAAATCTAGAATTTCAATTTGTATACTTCTGAATTTAAATTCATCCCTATAAAAATAAATATTCCCAAACAAATTCAAATATTTACATGCACTAAGATATTATTAAACGGGAAATTAAATAGAGTAAACAAAAGTTAATTACTGCACGTCGGAGGGAAGCCTTGGCCTCCAAGTCTTGGCCACCGAAAATATGTCGACTTCCCCGTTGCTTTAACTTAACTTTACAATATTATACAATTTTACAGACTCGTATATAAATAATAGTGTTACCAGTAAATTATTAAATAATAAAGAATGGCAATGTTTTAATGAAGATTGGCAAGATTCAATTGTTTTTTCTATTGTGTGAATCTCACTCACCGCCTAATTTATAATCTTGTTCAAATAAACTATTTATAGTTTTCTACTCAAACTTAAAATTGTACCTTAAATCAGAGTCTTCTATAAACTCGAAACTGAAACACTTGTTGTAACACCAGTTTTTTGATTGAATAAATTTTACATTCTTAAAAATAAAAAAAAAACTATTTATAGTAGGAAAAAAAAAACTATTTATAGTAGGACGTTAGAAAAGAACTATATATAGAAGAATTTGCGGTTGGGTTTTATCTTCAACAATATCTACTTAGGAATATATTTTCTGTAAAAGCATTTGGTCACGTTCTTTATTATTAACATCTTTCTGTTTTGGTGAAGAAACCTAACTAGTATTCGCTCTACATATATGTAAGTATTTTCATTTTAACAAAAAAGGAATTTTCATCATTCAAATTAAGACTAGCTTTTTCTTACATAAAGTATACCTTTATATTATAATCGCGAAAATTGTTGAAACACTTCGAGTCAATAATTAATTAAGTAAAACTACGACCCGTGATTCTTTTCTTAATTCCTTTGTCAACAATCCATACGCGTGAATACGTGAACGTGATTAGTCAAAGTAAAATGCAAAAAGAAAAAAAGAAAAAAACATAAAAATCAGGACCATACCAATACCATATTCTCACTATACCAACTTCGATTTCATAAACCCAAATAAGAAAATAAAAACAAAAACTCCACGCTGTATATCCATGTGTGCGTGATACAAGAATAGACTCGACATGCAAAATAAAACTAAATATGACCAAATAATCATATAATATCCTGGAATAAATAAAAATCACAATAGTAACATTTTTTTTATAAAATTTCGTATTCATTTTCTCCATCCTCCCCCACATAGTCACATACCACTCCCTATAAATGCCAAGCAAAATAGCTTTCCTCGATAGTTCCTAAATCACAACTAAAACCTTTTCTTCTTCTTCTTCTTCTTCTTCTTCTTCTTCTTCTTCTTCTTCTTCTTCTTCTTCTTCTTCTTCTTCTTCTTCTTCTTCTTCAACCTTTGCTTCAATCTTTAATAACTCTCAACAAAAACCAAACATGGTGGTTTTGCCACAGCCAGTCACTTTAGATAACCACATCTCCCTAATCCCAACATATAAACCGGTTCCGGTTCTCACTTCCCATTCAATCCCCGTCGTGAACCTAACCGATCCGGAAGCGAAAACCCGAATCGTAAAAGCCTGTGAGGAGTTCGGGTTCTTCAAGGTCGTAAACCACGGAGTCCGACCCGAACTCATGACTCGGTTAGAGCAGGAGGCTATTGGCTTCTTCGCCTTGCCTCAGTCTCTTAAAAACCGGGCCGGTCCGCCTGAACCGTACGGTTATGGTAATAAACGGATTGGACCAAACGGTGACGTTGGTTGGATTGAGTATATCCTCCTCAATGCTAACCCTCAGCTCTCCTCTCCTAAAACCTCCACCGTTTTCCGTCAAACCCCTCAAATTTTCCGGTAAAATCTATATTTTAATCTCAAAAAACAACGTTACATCACTTATTTTTCACTTCATATACTGTTGAAAACAAATCTATTATCTAAAGAAATCATCACTCATTTTCTTTATACATTTCAAGAAACAGAGCACTCTGTTTTTACTACTCTGTTTTATCTCCGTTGAAACCTGACGGTTGTGAGTGAAAATTAAACAGAGAGGCGGTGGAGGAGTACATGAAGGAGATTAAGGAAGTGTCGTACAAGGTGTTGGAGATGGTGGCTGAAGAACTAGGGATAGAGCCAAGAGACACTCTGAGTAAAATGCTGAGAGACGAGAAGAGTGACTCGTGCCTGAGACTAAACCATTATCCGGCGGCGGAGGAAGAGGCGGAGAAGATGGTGAAGGTGGGGTTTGGGGAACACACAGACCCACAAATAATCTCAGTGCTAAGATCTAATAACACGGCGGGTCTTCAAATCTGTGTGAAAGATGGAAGTTGGGTCGCTGTCCCTCCTGATCACTCTTCTTTCTTCATTAATGTTGGAGATGCTCTTCAGGTCCCTTTTCCTCTCTTTTCTCTATTTCTTTAAATATAAAAATCTAAAATTGTTTTGATAATTTTATGTTTTTAAGATTTGATGGTTTGTGTTTGAGACATTCTCTGCGGTTTATTTGGCTGGTCAAAATTCAAAAAAAAAGTATATACATTTTTATCTTAAGATATAGTTTTTTTTATAAATAAATTTGGTAAATATTTTTTCTATAATTTATGATTTTTTTTGTTGTTGCTAAATTGGGTCAAGGGAGTGAATGAGATCGGTGTAGATGGTCAACAAAAAATTTCACATGCGATTTCTTCTCGTCTCTTCTCTTTTATCCTTTTTTATAAACAAAAGAGAATGGGTTTTAAAGTTCCTTTTTCTTGTGTGTACGTCTAGAAAATCTATGTAGACACTGAGCCTCACGTGACAATTACTATTACACGATGGACATGTATGCAATATAATATTCATTTTTATAAGTGACGTTTCAAAACAAAGCCAAAAAAGTATTTAGAGAATGTCTTTTATCCTAATTTTGACCCCTACAACATTTCCAAAGTCTAAATTCCCACAAAAGACGCGTGTATTAACAATACCCGGTGATTGCAGGTTATGACTAACGGGAGGTTCAAGAGTGTTAAACACAGGGTCTTAGCCGATACAAGGAGATCGAGGATTTCAATGATATATTTCGGGGGACCGCCATTGAGCGAGAAGATCGCACCGTTGCCATGCCTTGTCCCTGAGCAAGATGATTGGCTTTACAAAGAATTCACTTGGTCTCAATACAAATCTTCTGCTTACAAGTCTAAGCTTGGTGATTATAGACTTGGTCTCTTTGAGAAACAACCTCTTCTCACTCATAAAACCATTGTATGAGAGTAGTCATGATCATCCCTATCATCCTTTGTATGATAAAAGTCATAATCACAAAAAAGAAGGAAATGGATAGTGTTTTGGATTAGTTTTTATTTTTGGTATGTTTTTCATTAGGTACAAAAGCATTAGGCTTTGCTTAGAGTTTGACCCAACCAAACCTACCTTTTGTATCTTCTCGTCTTCTTCTTCCTTTTTTTTTTTTTCCACAATTTGTTTATCTTTCTTGGAAATAACAATTAGTGTTTATTTTCTCTTTATGTTTCATTTAAGTGTTAAATTTTTGTTTTTTTTTCTCCACTTCCCACATCAGAAGTCAGAACTGTCGAAATTCAACTATTGGAGAAAAGATAAACTTGCATCAAGGAAATGGAGAACACCAATGGTGCTTACCAATACCGTTCGACTCTCATGTCCGCTTAGAACTTCTCCAACGTGACACCAAAACATCAATGTTTTGTATGTTTCACTTTTAATAATATGAATTTTTAATTATAATTAATATTGTATGAAATATTAATTTGTACAAAATATCTAAATAAATATTAAAGAAACATACTAAAGTTCAATCAAACATTGAACATAAAATTACAAAATTAAAAGAAAACAAATATAAAAACTAAATTTAATAAGATAATTAAACACTTGTAGTCTGAATATACTAATTCTGAGAATTTGTACAATATAATTAATTTTCTATTACTAATCTATCAATTGTAATCTTATATTAAGTAAGTTATAAGGATAATTAGTATTTATCAAAAATATTAAAAAATAAAATGAATCTTAAGTTTAATAATATATAATATCCTTTTTAGTGTAAAATTTGGTGTTATGGTTGGAGATGTAAAAATGGGACAATATAACACTAAATTTTATGTGATTTCAATACAAAAATTTGATGTTGTGATTGGAGTTGCTCTTAGGTTCGGTATAGTATCTTTAGTGTTTGACATGTTTTTTTAGTGATTTGATATTTTGATACATCGAATGAATAACTTTAAGTCGCATCATTAAACTATCTTTTTACTTAAATTTGGTATATTAGTTTTATGTGGAACATAAATATTTAGAACCAACAAAATGTTATTGTGGGTAAGCAGTCTAGTATAAAAGAAGTGGAATAGTTTTCTCTTAAAATATCAATGAAATTAAAGAAAAAAAAAGACAAATTTTTTTTCTTTTTATTAAAATAATCAACGTAAAGGATTGCTGACTGGAGATTACAAGACTCTGAACAAGGTTAGTTTTCGAGACAATTTAAAGATCTAGAAACACGATTAAGGTATAACAGTTTTTTTTTAAAAACAACGTTTGAAAGTTGACAAAAAAAAAATAAAGAAAAAAGCATTGGGGGAAATTAAAGAAATTAAAGTGGAGACCACAGAGAAAAAGAAGAGACAGGTGCTACGTGCTAGGGTTCTTACAGCTTTTAGAACTGTACGAAACGGAACAGAGAACTGTACAGTTACTGTCGTAATGTCGTTGGTTATGACTTTTTCATTTACTTTTATTTATTTTATTGGTTATCACTTTCATTTAGACACCAATTATACCCGTTTTCATTTCACTTATTTTTTGATATAATCCAAATATATCATTAAAAAGAAAAAGATTTCACAAAGTAGTCATGTAAATTATGTAATACATCCGTAAAAACTCATCAACATGTAGCTTAATTAAAACTTTAATTAGTTTATTGTTTAAAGAAGTTTGGGTTGAACAAGTTTTGTAAATCATTGAATGGATAATTTGTTGAATTCACACGAAAATATTGTAACTAACTAGATGGAACAGTAAATATAGTATGACAACAGTTTTGGTCGCCTCTTGTCAGAGTTTCAGGTAGTGTATTTATCAAATACTACCATAGTATTTGATTTTTGTTTTTACTTTTATTACTCTAATGGACAATGGTCTTGATAGACTCCGACTCACCTACCCTAGATAATATAAGTAAATTAGTTGCATTATGGTACATTAATTAATATAGTTACATTACTCGAATACCAGACTTTCTCAGTTTTAACGAAGTTGTGGTTGTACAATGGTAAGATTGATGGGTCGGTACTGTTTCGAAGATATCCATGATAGGTAGCTGTTGTACTCCCATTTGACAACTATAGATGGTCACAAAACTGGATATTTTCAAGTGTTTGGATATTTTGATCACAAAAACTTCTGTATATCAAAATAAAAATAGGAAAAAGAATGTTTCAAAATACCAAAAAGAATTTATTCAAAATTCTATCACGATTGATGATTAGAATTTTAGAACAAACATAATTTTTATTGTTAACAAGCAGTAGCTGTTGAATACGTAAAACAATAATTTTTTGAACATTAACTAAAACATTTAAATCGTACCTTTTTCACTCCATATATTTCAGTACCTACCTTACATTCCTAAAGATAAACTAGCGAGAAATAGTAATAGCGTCCAATTATAACAAAGGTTTATGACTGCATGGAAATCATACGACACAGTTACCTCTGAGTCACGTACTTGACATATCAGTTTATAGGAATTTGTTGATGATTCTATCAAATAAGGGTGTCGTGTAATTGTGTAAATTAAAATTATTCTATATGAAATTGAATTCTCGTCCACTTAAAAATTTATAAAACAGAATTTTTACCCAAATATCCCATGTGAAAATTATTTTCATTAAATGGAAAAGAGCACGATGTGACTGAATGCAGCTTTTTTAGTGCATATACGGGTCCAAAGCCAGCTCATGTTGGGCCCTTGTATTGTAGATTTGCATCTTTTCAATTTAGATAGGGAAATAACTACACTAAAAAAAAATATTTACAAAACAAGAAATAGAAAGAGGGACATTCCTTATATAATATGTACGAAATTGTTTATATATTTGAAGTGTGTTATTGTTGTCACTGTACAAATGATGTTACAATTTTACACCAAGCTTTGGCTCGACGGGGACCTTTTAAATATAGTTATTTTCTTTTTTAATAATAAGTAAAATTTGTTTTAACAATTTTTTTTTTTAATCATCGTTCACCGAATAGATCCTAAATATCAAATTGGAAATCTAAAATAAAATTAAAAAATATCTAATTTTTTTAGCAAGTAGAAACATCTACAATAGCTAATGATTTTATGATAACAATGAAAATTCGTAATTGGTGAGATTTGATTCTTGACTTATTATATCCACGTATAACTTTAATCGATCACACAAAATTTGCAATTAAATAAAAAAATAGAATAAACTATTTCTGTTAAGAATAGAATGAGTTTTAGATTAGAAAAATGAAATTATTTGTGGTTATGAAAAGTCAAGATTCAAACGTACTTCTGAAATAGGGATATCTTTACATGTACTACAAAATCTAAAACTGAATACATCAATTACACGATTTTATAAGAGACAATTTCTTCTTCATTTTTGTTTCTTCTCATAGAGAATTTCCCTGCGCGAAAGAACTTGTTCCAAATGGTTTGCTATCGTTGGCATGTCATTAAATTAATTTTATTTTTGGTAAAAGTATTTATATTCGATTGAGTGGAAAAGTATAATCATATTAAGAAGGAAAAAAAAATCTTGTTAACATTTGTGTTTGATTACCCGCTCCAGTTTTGCTTGGAAAAATTATGATTATCTACATATATAAAAAATTGGTATGGTTATAGCGTATAATATAATCTGATTAAGAAACATCTTTTAGAAATATTTTGACTGCTTTCAAAATGGTCACATAAAAATTAATTAAAAACTAAATCACTTTGATTAAAGTGAATTATTGCATTCGAAAACTTCCAAGTCTAAACTAGCCATTCTATACCCTAAACTCAGCAACCACTACTCGATCTTCGATCGTCTCATGGAAAAAGGTAAGATTTGAAGCTTTTTGACATTCTTGCGTAATCTTTTTTCCTTTTTATTGAAACCTTTTGACATTCTTTGCATAGAAAGTTGGGAGCTTTCTGAGTTTAAAATACTTCTCCCAAATCAATCGTCTTGTGGGTTCCAAGTCATTTCTTGAATTTGTAACCCATTATATATCATAAGTCCTAAATTTATAATTGATTAACAATGCTATTAATATTTTTTTAAAGTCAAAAGTTTTTAACAGCATATTTTTAATTATCAAAAAAAAATTACATTGAGCCTTGGTGAGCCGTTGGCCCATAACTATTATAGCCCATTACATACATATTTAGGAGTCAACCCATTTTACTTAGAAGCCACGTTTGATGGTGGTTTTATTTTCTGATTAATATATCAACTTATTAAAGAACGTGAATTACGTAAAGCCAGAGGATCATAGATTGTAAAAATTGTGATAAACAAATTTCTTAATATCAACAAAAACAACCAAAAATATAAGAAGAAAACAGAGAGAGAATCAAAACAAAGAAGAACAAAAATGGCGTATCGGAGAAGACAAGGGATCACAAGAGCTTCAACATTCAAAGAAGACATCTATCATCAACCACCAGATCACGATCACGGTGATCTCAAAGGTCACTCCAATGGCGGATCCTTCAGATCTTCTCAATCTTTCTCTTCTCATTCATCCCTTGCCGCTCAAGCAATCCGTGCCTCCTCTCAGGTCTGATCTCTCTTTTTCTCTCTTCATAAGATTACTTTTCCGTCAAGAAACCTAAAATTCATCAAATCTCAGGCTCAAGGATTCACGGCTTACGAAGATAAGAGCGAGAGTCGTGGATTCTGGGGAATTCTAGCTCAGAAAGCTAAATCAATCCTCGAAGACGAAGAAGAGCAACAACAACAACAACAACAAAACGACCTCGTTTTCGAACCCTCGAATCCAACCATACGCAAAAGCATAGATAAGATCACAACGTCTCTGAATCATATCGGAGATAGTTTCGAGAAAGCGTTCGAGGAAGGTCGTACGATCGTAGCTTCACAAATCAGACGAAAAGGATCTGACCTAATCGATTCAGACAACAACAATTATAACCAATCCTCTGGATCAAGCAGTCCATGGCAACCATTAACACAACCAAACCCACATGAGTCTCAACTCAAAGCTTCACGTGATGTAGCCATGGCTACAGCAGCTAAAGCCAAGCTTCTCCTCCGTGAATTGAAAACAGTTAAAGCCGATTTAGCATTCGCTAAAGAACGTTGTTCTCAATTGGAAGAAGAAAACAAACGGTTAAGAGATAACCGAGATAAAGGTAACAACAATCCAGCTGATGATGACCTAATTAGGCTTCAGCTAGAGACATTATTGGCAGAGAAAGCGAGATTAGCACACGAAAACTCGATCTACGCGAGAGAAAACCGATTCTTGAGAGAAATCGTCGAATATCATCAGTTAACAATGCAAGATGTTGTTTATATAGATGAAGGTATAGAAGAAGTTGCTGAAGTTAATCCTTCAATCACTAGAACGCTTTCTATGGCTTCGTATTCAGCTTCTGAATTGCCATCGATCTCGCCTTCGCCTTCTTCCCCTGCTTCGCCTTCTCGGCTTTCGGTTTCTACCGACATTTATCCGGTTTTGGTTCAGCAGAGTTCGGCTACTGATGTTGCGGTTGAGAGTCCTAAACCGGTACGACCACCTTCTTTGGGGTACACAGATGATGGTAAGAGACAATCGTCACAGCTACCATCGTCGCAGCTCTCTGTTTAGAATTGATGACATTTTACTATATATCATTTTGATTATGTCTGTTTCGAAATTTTTGTTGTTAGTTTTGATATTGATTAATAACTTTGACTTCACTTTTGGCGTAATCTATTTGTAATAGTGGTTTATACTTGCTTCTTGATTGATATATGAACATTTTTGCCCTCCACTACCTTCACGTAAATCGTTTTTCCAAGGGAAGTTTTATTGACTTTTACTTTGTTTTGTTTGGAAATACTCAAGTGAATTTAAAATGTTGTAAATTATGTTTTACTTATGCTCGAGTTTCAAGGCGTAACAGACTCTTTTTGTATCATCAACTTACATACAAGTAACCACGTCTTACGTATTTTTAAATCTGATACAGATAATGAGATAATTATAAATAGGTGTGTTAAATCGGTCAACTGATGGAAAAGGTCAACTATTTGTATATGGGCCGGTGAAGCCCGTATAGGCCATCTCACTACGGGCCATGCAGAAGGTATTTCAAAGGCATTACCAAAATCTGCAACACACAATCCCGTGAGCTGAACCATCTCAGAGCAAGCAAGGTTTGCTCAATGATCTCGTCGTCTCTATCAAGAAGTGAAGGCTTCTAGTTGCTCGAGAATATCAAGGTTCGAATGGTTATGACCACATAATATCCAAAACAGCAACAGCAACAACATTTCGACTAAACTCAAAAAATAGATGTTTTGCTTTTGCTAAGTTCTTTCACAGATACAGTCACTAGAACATAAAGCATACGGTTGCTCGGGTACAAAAGATGTCACAGAAGCTTCATAGTCCTTTTAAAGGATCTGCTGCTTTGCCTGACCTAGCATCTGTCCAAGCTTTAGCTATTGTCTTCTTCATTTCCTCATCTCCATCCTCATACAAGTTCTGCAGTGTTAAGACAAAAGAAAAGAAACCATAAGCAACCAATGCGAAATGCACAAACATATTTCTCAGACTCAAGAATTAAGATATCCTTTACCTTCATCATGCCCATAATTCCAGCCATTGGGTCTTTCTCTTTCTCCAAGCTCGGTTTTATCTGAACAAACAAGTAACATTTTACCATTAGCTTTAGCTTCACCAGACAAAAAGCTACAACAACATGATGTTCTTGAGTTTTAGGTTTATACCTTGTCTTCTTTGTGGTGAATGTCAAGCCAGTTCCCTCTGGAAGACTTGAACATTGTGATAACTATCCTTTTAGGCTTTACAAGCACTTTACATTTCTCTGGCACAATCTCTTTATGCAACTTTGGGATGGCACATCGGTAATTCTTCCCTTGAACATCATGGATTTTGATGTCCAAAGACATTGGCTTGAACTCAGCTTGAACCTTGTCCTCATCAACACCTTCCAAAGATATGTACATCTGTAAAAACAAAAAGAAACAATGCAGCAATAAGAAAAGTTCATTATCATAACCAGAGAAAAGCCACACAATTGAATCTTGATTTAGAAAAACTCTGAATTGGTTTACCTTGACTTTTTCATTGTCTTGATCCCAGCTGAATGTTCCGAGAGTTACATAGTTCACTGCCGAATAAACCGGCTTAACCGAAGATGAAACCGGTGCAGGAACTGTAACTGGGACCTCAGGCTTTGCACTTGAACTGACTGCAGAGTCTCTTAGCTACAGACACAAGATTCAAACTGTAATCAGAAATCAAAGTAGAGCTTTTTTAACACAATCCTAAGAGATTAGTTTATAACCAATTCACCAATAGAACTCAAAGTGATCCTTTTTTGTTGTTCCTTATCATTATACAATAACAACTAAATCAAAGTTCCAGAATTTTTCAGAAGACACAGATACTCAGAATGAAATAGTTCTTTCTTCTGGGAAACTCAAAACTAATCCAAGTACTGTTCCATTTCAGATAAGAGCAACTACTTATAATAACCTAACAATTGTAAGGAAACGATAATGGCGAGAAAAGGGTAAAAGGGAGATTTGGTACCTTCTCCAAGTTGGAAATCTCGGAATTGATGAGATTGAGAACACGAGGTCTCTTGGCGATGTTCTGGAGTTGCCTGAGTTCATCCAAATCAAGCGCAGCTTCTTCCGCCATGGAAATAATCTTAGAGCAGCTTTTTTCAGAGAAAACGAAAACGTAGAATCTGGACAGACAAAGGATGCAAAATTGTGTTTTATAGTATATTATTACAAGACACAAAGCCAAGGCAATGAGAGAGTCTTGTGGAACCTGGAAAGTACTAGAAGACCTCATCATTTATTTATTTATTAACCATTTTGGTGTTATAGCTTCTTGGGCTTTGTTCTTTCATACAGACCCAAGCCCATTAAGTAAAATTCACTTGAAGAGGATTATGGTGGATTGGACGAGTGAAGAAGAAGCTGCAGCCGTCCTTACCGGGAAGATTACGATCAAAGCCAACAAGGTTCCCTTTGAGAATAGTCTAGTCTAAGTCTTTGTCTCTGTGAGGACAAGATTTGAAGACATTATTATGCAACCTTATTACCTTAAGTCCCTTTCTTTCCACAAAATGTACACAACAAATGGAGTCAAGTTTTGAGTTTGTAATAGTGAGAGGTCTCCAAATCTAACTCCATGAATGTAAAAAGTCTGTTTTCTAAAAGAGTTAACATTTTTGTTATCAAACAATTTATGTTTTCTTCAACAGAAACTTTTACTCTAGATTTAAGTTACTGGAAATTTTAATCTAACAATGTGGTCCTACATATATTTTTCTGTCGGCATCTCCAATGGTGCTCTATATCTTGCTCCAAACTCTATATTAAGAGCAAAATCACTCCAATGGTGCTCTATATTTGGAGCAACACTATTCATATCTCTATTTTTAGAGCACAACTTTTTTATTTACAAAGTACTCCCTCAACTTTAATATAGTATCATATTATACTTAAACAAAATTATATAATTAAATTACATACATAAACAATTTTATATTAGAAACTATAGTTACTAAATTAATTGAAATTTAAAATATAACAATAACATATATTAAATTAAAAAATAATATCATCACAAATGATAAACTAAAAGTACATAAAAACGATTAAACTTGTCGTTAAAAAAAAGTTAACACACCATAAACTAGTGATTTAATAATCCGGTAGATCGCTTCCGGATCCACTAATAATGCTGTTTAAATAAAAATATATTAATCATTCGATCTTCTATTTATGTGTTGTAATAAAATTTAATTTTTAATAATATGGTTCTATTAGATATTTATTTAAATATAAACTAAGTGGATAGAATTCGCAAACTTTAAAAATAAAGTACTATGTGAATAATTAAAAGAAAATATTAAAATAGAATATTTATTTTAGAGCAAAAAATAGAGCCAACTATTGGAGCAAACCTCTACTCTATTTTTAGAGTACTCCAAATTTAGAGCAAGAAATAGAGCCAACGATTGGAGATGGTCTTATCAGTGGCGGATCCAGGCTCCAATTCTGTATGGGGCACTTTATTTATAAAATAATAAATAAAATTTAATTAGCTAAATTATATTATGATTATAAAAAATTTCTACCAAAGTTAAAGTTCTGGGACTCGAACTTGAGTTATTAGGGGGTACTTGTAGCTGTAAAACCATTTATGCTACCTAAATTTCATTGTACATAAATAGCTTATATAATATTTATAGGATTTAGTATGGGGCACATGCCCCACCCAGCTTCAACGTGGGTCCGCCCCTGGGTCTTATACACCATTTTTCTCATCATCCACTTATTTACTCTAAAAACATTTATCAATCACATCTTTAGAGTAATATTGTAGAGGAAAACAAAATTTATTCTAGATTCTACTTTTTTTTTTGTTTATGAAGCAATAGAAAAAAAAAATTATTCTAGATTCTACTTTTTTTTTTCACTTTTCATTCCATTTAAAAGTACTGTATCTTTAATTTTCTTATTTCTATTCGTTTTAGAATAACTTTGGATAAATGTAAAATAAAGATAATCTACCATTTTCAACTCATTCCTCGAGCCTCAAAAAAGAAGAGACGATTGTCGCCATTTTTGGATAGGTGCCCGATAAAGAGGGAGATAAAAACATAATTGACCGACTAGAAAATAAATACATGTTTCAATTTTTTTTGTTTACATGTTTCAATTGTTATCACATTTATTAGATTTAGCTTTGCTTTGAAGTAGAAGATTTTACATATATTAATATGTATACATGAACTCAGAACCTAACGATTTTATTCTTGCATTATAAAGTTATGATAATTGATATCATCTCTGAGCCAAAGGTAACCATGTGCTAACATGGAGTTGAGTTTGATTGACATCTTTGTATAACTAATATGAGCTTAACTTGTCTCTGTTACGAATAATTCATTCAATCATGTATGCATCAACAAAAATTCTCACTTTTTTCTTTTGATATATTATATTTTAGAAAATTATTTTTGAATTGGACGTTACCAAATGCACAAACCTGGCGTAATTTATTATGTAGTCTCAATATCAGAATGAAGACATTTTAAACAAAACAAAAGAGAGAGAAAGGTTAATTTTACTTTTTTATGACACTCTAAATAAAATTGATGTTCCAATACTCCTAAATTCTAATGAGAAACAACATTCAAAATGTAATCGATCTGAGAATTACTTTAGATGTGAACAATATTATCATTTAAAACCCTTTTCAGCATTATATGAACAGTATAATCATTGGTCGCTAAATTTACGAGAGCTATTTAAAGTGTTACTGACAATTTTCAGATTTAAACTCAGTATAGCTGGTCGCATTTTTAAGACTGTTAAACCGTGATGGATTTTACAAAACCAGAAAGGAATAGGAAAAGCGATGAAGATATTCATTATTTAATAAATATGTTGTTTTAAACAAATAAGTAACAATTGAATCCAGAGAAAAAAGTAGGAAATAGAAAATTTAAAGGAGAGAAAGCTCCTTTGAAAAGGGACGGCCAATGACTATTGTCAAAATGCTGACGACTTAAAACATGGTCGTGGAATAAAGTTGGGACCGTCCATATCTATTTATATGCTTCCTAATTAAATAGTAAATTTTAGTTTCACTTTTGATAATTTTTAACTTCTTCTTTCTCTCCCGTTAGAAAAAGGAAGCATCCCTCTTTTACCGTCCAACAATAAAAATTACACATTTACACATATTCATACATGTGTCATGTGTGTATGTATGAGAAGTGTCATGTGTGTGCACGTACGAAGACATACCATATATATGCAGAGATAATGCATGCATGTGTGTGTAAGAGCAGAGTGCAGACAATGGTATTAAAATATCGAATGTCGACGGTGAGATGAAAAAGGAAAGTATCGTATGTCTAAGGTTTATGGATTCCACGTCCAAAAGATAAAAGATAAAAGATAAAAGAGACTTCACCTTCGGTGTGACCAATCAATAAATTTCGATATAAAATATGATATCATCTCTTTTTATATAACAATATCTGATATCATTATATAATATGTACTTTAAAGTTGGAGTGTTGAAAAAATGACACTATTTTCTGCTTAGTAATAATAATTATTATATTTATTCTTCACGTATAAAAGTAGTAATATAGTATATATGAGTTCTTTTTGTCTAGATTAATTTCTTTAGCTTTCTGAAATATCATTCATATGTAGTATATAGTATGAAATCAACCATTTACATGTAATGTTGCAATGAATGTGTTTTAATTTGTAAAGCCTCGAATGACACTGAATCACAATATATGTACACGATCGTTCCCATATGATTCATGAATCATTATTGTATACCTTATCGATTGATTTCAACCACTTGTGAAAAAACCAACAGCTTAATAATTTTTTTTTTTTATATAGCGTTTAATTAACCATCTTCAGTATTCTATATCAATATATTGTTTTACCTCCTTGAAAACACTTAAAAATTATATGGACTGACCCAATCATAAAACATTTTTATGTAGACAAACAATGAAACTAATCACTTAACACAAATACAAATATAGTTCTAATATGAATCGTCAGTTTTTTTATACACAAGGATTCGCTTGCAGTACTGAATCCCCCTTGATGTTAATTAATTAATTACTCGGAACAAATTTTCTGTTTGTTTCTTTTTTTCCCCTTCAAAGAATCATCTGAGATACTTTTGAGAATAGTTTAATTCTTCTCGTTGAAAAATGAACCGCATTAGTGGACTCTCTCTATTTACACGTAAAAGCTCTCTCAATTTGTTTTTGCTTCTAGTACGGTCTTCTAATTAGCATGTGAATGGCCAACAAATAAACGCATGTCCAATACATCAATCGTTGTTTTCCCTTCTTTATAGCCTGTTTAAAATAAAATATCATAAATAAGTAATAATTAAGACCACAAATTTTTAATTAATTAATGTGTATTTAAAAAGATGGTGACGATAATCATAAATATCACACTAATAAGTACTAATCATACCGCTCCAAAAAAAATCTAACTTTATCATTATTAATTAGAAATATGTTTAAAATAAATATGTTTGGTAAGAATAAGTTCTAGAAAAGCCGAACTTTTCAAGTATTAAACGTCACAATTAGAAGAAAAAAACGTCACAATTCTCTCCTTTCTTAAAAAATGTTTCTCAATCAAAGCTTTTTCCAAGAGATTTAATTTGATATTTAAAGACAAAAATAAAAGAAATATAAGTAGGCCTAGTAGAAACAGAGTAAGTAAAGTTAAATGTTGATACATACCGTGGAGGCAGAGGAAGTGAGGGAAATAATAGAAGTTGAAGAAGTAGATGTTGATGTTGTTGTTGATGATGACGATGATAATAAACCTACATTGTAAGCCATGGTCTCATCAGGCTGATATAATCCATAGTTCCTCTCAGAGGTTGGTCCTGGTTTAAGGTCTTCATTGAAAAGAGCAAAGAGATAAACATCAAAACTCAAGTTTGGTCTCAATGGCGTTCCTTCATTTTGAAGTTGTCTCCTTAGAAGATTTTTGTTATAAACAGCTGCGTTGGCCACAGTAGCTCCAACCTCATCTCCATCGCCTTTAGACGGCCATCCAGTCTCCGAGACCCCAACTTCGATGTCTTTGAAACCAAGCCTAGCCATAGCAAAGATCACAGCGTCTACTTGAGCGTAGAGCATGTTGTCATAATGGTACTTGGTGTAGGGGTCAACCATTCCAGGGTTAGGGTTGAAGAGGACGTAGTCTAATGGAATCTTTGTTGGGGAATCCTTGTAAGCGAAGTAAGGGTAAGCGTTGATCCAGAAGGGGGATTTCGTGTTACGCAAGAAACCTAGGAGCTGTGTCATTACGCCGGCTACCTCCGGCCTAAAACATCCGGCAGAGGGAGGGTAAGATTCTTGAAGGACAGACAGTGAATTCGGAGTCGATACTTGAATGTACTTGTCTAGTCCGGTTTGGACCAAAGCACCATGAATGCTCATCATTGCAGGCACAAGATACCTGCGAAATATAGCAATAACAAGGTTGAATACTTTTTTAATTTTTTTTAACCAGAGGATCCTGAAACAAAACGTGAACTAAATCGATCTCAGGATGTATGATTTGGTTAATAAGGTATATTTGTAATGGGCCAAGATTTGAAAAGGATAAGAATTTATAGGAATGAGCTAGGTGATGTATGTAACAAACCCTATAAGGCTTGAGTCATCGTCAGTGTATAGTTCGTTGCCGACGGCGATACCCCCGATCTTGGTCGCTGGAAAGTAGGGTTTGATACGGGTAGTGACCCATTGGAGAGCTTGTTGAGGGTCTACTAAACTGGGAAGCATTTCATTTTCGACGGTGACGAAGAGCTCGATGTTGGAATTGGCAAATGAGGTTAAGACTCGAGGGTTTGTGTCGTAGATTCTTGTCTTATTGATATGGAGTGAACTCAAGAGTTGTAGAACTTTGTCCGGTGGAGGAAGGTTGTCGCCGACTTGACCATAGTTGATGCCAAGAGAGGAGACCCTCTGAAACAACAATCCATGTTCTGTGAAAAAATGTAATAGAAATTAAAATTAAGTGTAATGACAATCTGAAATTGAAATAATAATTTTTCTTTTTGGTAGACAGAAATAAGCAATTATTCAAAAAAAAAGATACCTAAGAAAGTTAAGGAAAACAGAAGAAGAACAATAGAGTTGGTCATGGCAATTCTGCTAAACATTTTAGACATGGAGGAGAGATAAAGACCGAGGGAGAAAGTGCTTGTAAGAGAATCAATGCAATGAAATAAGGGGATAGATATAGATGAAGAATTGAGAAATGGGACCAAGTGGGCGACGAATAATTATTAATCTATAATTTAGAGATAATACTTTACTTTGCCTTTTTTTTTTTTGGGTGAGACATGGGTCTTCTACAATAAAAGTGACAATATGATTAAATTTAGTTTATTTCAATTTATACTCGTTATTTTTGTAATGGGAGTAGGTTTGGCAATAGGTTTATCTTATGGAAGTCTATTGTGAAAACAGATAGTGTTTGCCAAAAACATTCTTTGTGAGGCAACATGGGTTTCAGAAAACATTTTGGACCCAAGCAGAAAAAAATATGACATCTTAGATTGTCTCTTTCCAACACATTGCCAACTATGTCAGTCCAAAAATAAAAATAAAAATGAAAAAGTGGCCTAAAAGAAGACACTTTCTTCAGACAAAGGCAAAGGTGGGAAAAATTGAATTGCCCACTATAATGGGTTTTTAATCTTAACAATATGTCTTTGGTTTTGGCAATAGAAATTGGAGGATCCCAAATTTGGTAGTTGGGTGAACGAAGAGAATGGAACTTAAAGAGTAGAAATCACACCATCATAATGATAAGAAGGATAGTGCTCTTATCTTCAGTTTATATATATATTGCAATTTGCATCTTATGAGATAAAAGCTCTTTTCAAAAATTTGTATACTTTTGTTAGAATTGTATTTCATATGTATGACCCTCAATTAATCGTATATTTGATACTCAATGGATTTTAATCGCATATATATTTAAAACTATTCCTACGTTTCAGTTCAGAATTTATATATTGTTACATTCATACAAAAATAAATATTTCTAAATACAAACCGCTCCAACAACGATAAAAAAAATTCGGGTTGCACAACAGTTCATAATTTTAAAAACAAATTAAAATAATTACTCAATTAATGAATCAATGGAAAAAAAAATTGATGTTTTAAACAAGTTCATCAAGAAGAAAAGTTAGTCTTAGTCAATATATAAATTTATAGCCTAATTGACCCAAGCAAATAATTTAGTTGTCTGAAACAATGTTTTTTTTTTTCTGTTTGATATTAAAACATTGAAAAGTGAAAACAACGAAAGCTTTAACTATACACTAATACACCAGGTGATAATTGTAATCCAACTTAATTTTGCTCATATAAAAGTGGAAAATAATATATTTTTTTACAGATTTTTGGAAGTTTGGGTTGTTGGTTTTCTTATATAACGACTTACTATATTGGATTTTGATTAATTTATGAAATTTTAAATATATAATTTAAATGGATTAGAGATCTGAAAACATATGTAAAGGAGCTTTATGAAATGATGCAAAAGTGACCCAGTTTTGATCTTTTAGTAACCAACCCAAGAATCTAGTAACTTTTGGAAGATGAATTCCACTAACCATACTTGTTTATTTGTTACACCTTACATATATACACAAAAATATACATTAATAAAATTCATATACAAACATATGAATATGCGTGTGTATACTTGTTTTGGAATGAGACAAATGAGCTGATGCATGTGGTACGCTTTATGACATCTTAGATTCCTCCGACTGATTCACAAACCTTTGTTTCCTTACTCTTGACTCGAGATTCTAATGTAATAAATGATACTATAAATTAAAAGTTACTTGTATGTTTCTAATCGAATATTTATGCGTGAACTTAGCAATGTGTTAGGTATATTTGACATTTTGGATCTCGATGCTTATAGCTTATTTTCAATATAATAACAGTAAGAAAAATGCTTGATAACCAACGAGGCTCTTACAATTTACCATGATCAATAGTTATATCCAAGCAGAGTTACGACTAATTATAATTTATAAGGCAAGACGAATTGAAAGATTATTATGTCTTGAGATCTATCTGCTCTTGTTTGAACAAAAGTAAATTTGAACAAATTTTGTTTTTATATAGTTCATGTAACATTTAACCAAATTTTGTTTTTATATAGTTTTCATGTAACAAATTTGAACATATAGAAGTTTTTAATCTCTTACGCTGATTTATTTCTCTTGAGTAAGAAGAAAACTCATCAATTTTTCTTACAAAACTCATATAAAGGTTTTCTTAACTTTGACGACTACAAAAGAAAGTTCTTTAACCATTATTTTTCAAACTTTATCCAATATATATCGAGTTTGGTAAGAAATTAGATAAAGATTGACAGTATTATTTTGTTGGAAAACAAAATAACGAACATTGCTATTTGTGGGGATAGATGTGATGGATGACTAATGAATTAGTGAGGTTGGTGGTTACAACTTATGAAAAATATAAAATCAGCCAAACGTAAAATTCGACGTAAAAGAGAAAGAGAAGGAGCAAAAAGATTGGCCCTTCCATGGGAAAGCAAAGAGAGGGCACATGTTTGATTACTCAACAAAATAATTGATAATTATGTCACTAACAATCCACTAATTAAACCTTTCGAGTTAAGTAATATGGTTAGGAATCAATCTCTGGCTCCTTTTCCATTTATTTGATATTTCATATTAAAATCGTTCACATCCCTTCTCTTAGAGACCGAAAATTTTTTGCTCAAAAAAAAAAAAAAAAAAAAAAAAAAAAAAGAGACCGAAAATTTATAACAGATTCCTGTTATTGAATTGAGGACAGCCAACACATAGACGCAAATGCTTAAACCTAAACATATACATCTAATCTTATATGTAAATCGAAAATAATACATACAATATACTTATATACATATAAGAAAATGTTGATCATATACGTCTAAAACATGACGTAACAAAAAAAAAAAGGTGATTGAAGGCTTTAAATGGTTTGCAGTTTTTTTTTTTTTTGGTTTTTTAGATATTTTGGTAATAAAATTAACTAGATTTTAAAATAAAAGAGGAAATCTGAAGACAAGAAGTAGGAAAAGTGTATTTCTAGAATTTTGATTGTAGAGTAAATGAGTTAGAAAAAAAAAAAAAAAAACAAAACTTAAAACTCACGGAAAAACTACTATCATTTGGCGGGAGTTGATGGCCTAGCTAGTGGTCTTAACTTCTCCATGTCATTTACAGCTTGACTGGCTTCGGACCGCCACAGTGAGAGTTAAAGATAGTGATCACATACCACTAGCCTAAATGTTATATAAACAAAACCACTATCATTCAAAGTGCCCTCGAAGTTAAGCCAAATGTGTAATCTTGTAAATATACCGGATCTCAAAGTTTCTCGATCGGAGTTGATCACTAATCCAATGATACTGTATGCTAAACATATATGTACCAAATTGACCAAATTAAGTGTGCCATCGATCGGATTGAATGTATTTATGCTAGTAAGATTAACTCTGTGATAGAAAAAATAGATATGATGCTTGATGTATAGATGAGGAAATGATTCCATGCAAAGCTCTCTTCTATGGTCAGCTACTCCCTATAACAAATCAGTTTTAATTTTTGCTATATCAACTGGTTAGACCATGCCTAGCTAGTTCTTATGGTAGATTTGATTCAGCGACTTTTCGAAGTTTTTTGAACAAAGAAAATCTTACACCACTTTGTTTGTGTTTACGTTTTCAGCGATTAAATATTATAATATGACAACATAAACGCAAACGAAAACTTAGAACTTAAAATAGATACGCTAAAACCTCAATAATGGATCAAGAGAGTAATAGTAGATTTATCAACCTCTCTAGGTACGTGGTTTTAGATAGCTTTCTTATAGACTAAATCATTCTGTTGAAATCCATAATTTCTTACACAATAACCAAACTTGTAAGTAATTAATTAGAACTAATTCCTTCGAAGCTGCTGGAATAAACATTGCCGTTCTTTTTCCAAATTTTCTTTTAAATAAAGTCATGTAATTACTATTATTTGCATGTCAGCATGTGATCGGATTGGTAAAAGAAATTTTGAAAAACGAAAGCTTGAAAAAGTAAAGAAAATAGCTTTAATGTTTTAAGTTTAAACAAGAAAAGTTACAATATGTACTAGAGAGAAAACAGGAATATGGTAAATATCATCGTATTAAAACATTGTATCTAAAATACTGTTTTTCCGAAAATGATAATGGGAAATATCATTAAAAATGAAATGAAAATAATAAGCAAAAAGAAAGGAAGAAAAGAGAAGAAAGCATATGCTTGTGTATCTTCCATTGCTTTAATTCCAGCAATGAATCTACAAAATGTAAAGAGTGAAGACTAATGTGGTCAATCCATCATATTCTATCTTTCCCATCTTCGATATAAGTTCGCATGTTGATAAAGATCACCATCTACTACATATACTCTTTTATTCTTCAATATAATATTGTTATCTAAAACTAAAAATTGGGTGACAAAATTGTAAAAATTATAGCTTTTGTGCAGTGCTCAAATAAAAGACGTATTCATTATCATGTAAAGCTAAATTGAGAAAAAAAATGTATATTATATTATATTTATTTAATAAATTTTAAAATATCACATAAATTATACGAATGTAGAAAATAAATATAGCCAAATATTAAAGTTTTTCCGCACAAAGAAACTTATATTTGTATAACTAATGTAGATGCTATACATAATCTGATGATAAACATAATTTAAACACTCGTTAAAACCAAAATAGATGCTAGATCGTAGTTTATGTATATGTAGATCGTATTAAATTAACTTAGTGATGAAGATCACCATTGGGAGCATACTTTAGTGAAAGTACAATAGCAAAAAGAAGATAACAAAGATAAGGATGGTTTTTAGAAAAAAAAATTGAAATGTCTAAATACAATAGACGAAAGGTTAAGTTGGGGGGAGAAGATGGGAGATAGCATGTGCCTGTGTGTGTAGTGTTTTTCTAAAGACATGTTTCTTTTTCATTTGGCACTTTTAAATCTTATTTGCTTCTTTAACAAATTGGGATTTACAACAAGGTGAAATAATCTGGTTATATTCAGTTGTGATATACATTCAAAATCCTTACAAGTTTACAATGTATATATATGCAGTACTGGTGGTGAAAAAATATAAAATATATATATATATATTCAGAAAAAAATCTATCTAACACCGTATAAATGTATCATTATACATATTCATCCACCGTATAAAATTTTACTATTGTTAACATATACGGCTATATATAGTTTAAATATATTGAAGTGGATGCAAATCATATAGCCATCGTATAATAATTTGCATCCGCTTCAATACATATGAACTATATGTTATGTCAGCTTCTTGTACTATATCGACCAGCATTATATGTATGATTAATTTGATCGGATAATTCTTATATATGTTGCGCCGAATTTTAGTCGAATATCGTCTTTTTACAGTTAACCACTTACATAGATGAATTTTTCACATAGAATATATATATACATAACTCGGTAGGAAACACTTGAACTATTGACAAATCCAATATACAATCCTAGCTTCTTCTTTTCCTTGAAATTTGAACTTCAATGTAAATATTTAAGCAAAACAAAAAAATAGTGAGAAAGTGATAAAATTAGTAAGAAAATATCACTCCGATGACGTCTTAGTTGAATGTTTGATTTGTTAACAGTATATTCGACGTATAAATGTTTATAGATAGCTGGTTTTGTATATTAAATTCATCGATAACTCATTTTGCATAGTATAAATAAGAAGCAAAAGCATATGTCAATATGTGTATACTTTGTAATTTGTATTGTGACCGAGGCTATGTATGATAAGATAACTAGATAAGCCAACGAGAAAAAATGAAAAGCAAGAATGCTTATTGGTTTTGATTAGAAGCGATAAGATTGGATTTCACATTCGACGCTTTTTAATTATTTTAAGTTTCTTTTAGGCTGTTATCCATTTTGAAAACAGTATTGGCCCAACTTGATCATCCCTAAATATTATAAGAAAATCAAAATTATTTTTCTAGACTCATTACTTCTATTATACACCAATTAATGTATGAATACACTTATAATTGGAAGTATGCAAAAAAAGAAAGAAAACAAAACAGAAGTAGTTGTTGAACTAGATTGCCATTGGTCATATGAGTCATATACAAAACTATTTATAGAATATATGGTAAATTTCTTGTTAGTTAATGGATGCAAAATTGGAAGAGGAGGAACACAATATTGTTCTAGAAACAAGCTCTTGTTGTCCTTAGATAGCTATTGAAGGCAAACAGCCATAAGTAGTTCAAACGAATAAAAAGAATTTTAAATGTAACACATTTTATATCTCAGTATCGATCAAACTCACACTTCTCAGTCCCAAGTTAGTAATATAGCCGTTGGGCACAAAATAATTAATGTTGTTGTAGACCGAAATGAGACCAACGAGTACCATATAAATTTTGAACACATTTAAGTATATGATCCATATGTTAAAAAAAACTTAATATAAATGGAGGGAGTAGTATTATTTAGAAAACAATAAGGGGATAGTTTATAATAAAGGCTTTTGTAATTTGTCTAAACAAGCTTAGAACAACAATCCAGTCCATGTATTATATTTAACACTTTCGGACATAAGTTATACACACATATGAATATATGATACAAGAGTTCAAACATCATGATGATGTTTCTATGACAAGTTTACTTATTCATACAATATAGTTTACAAACATTGGAATCCAAACCAAACAGATTTATCAATCTCTTTTAAGCAAAAAGAATCTGAGAATTCGATGGAGTTATATCTGCATAACGCTCCGGCGACTCCACGACCTCCCACCTCACTCCAAACTTATTCTCCGACTGCCAAATATTCCCAACCGCAAGATGAAGATTCCGACCAACCACATATACTCTGTTCCCGTAACAGTTAACCGCAAACGGTCTACAAATCTGCTCAGGCAATTCCAGTCCGTTAATAGTCTCCCACGAATCTGTAACAGGATCATAAACCTTCATCTTCATTCTCTCTAATTCCGAAACTATAAACAACCGATCATAAATCACGACACTCGTCCCGGTCCATCCTTCTCTTAACCCCATTGACATTGTTTCCCATTGATCCGTCCTCGGGTCATAAACTTGACCTCTCGGGGATACAAAGAACGGCCATAACCATCCTTCCGTTACCAAAAGCTTCCCGTTTAAGACTGCTGTGTCGTAAGACGCCATGTGTGCGACCATGTTTGAAACTGGCCGCCAATTCCCGTCCAAAGGGTTCAAAACCTCGGCAGAATCGAGCTCATATAAATCCGCAGCATTTCCACCTGCCGCATATATCATCCCATCGATCACACCGCTAGCAAAAAACGACCTCGCGGTTATCATTTTGTTCGTGACAGTCCAATGATTCCTCACCATATCATACTTCAACACCAAATCAAGAGGACAATCCGAATCCGAAACCATCCCGCCACATACAAACATAGTACCTTCGCGAGGCATCGAAACCGATCTGAAACCGTGAGGACAAACTTTATCTCTACATGGCATAGCCGGGATTTCGTGCCAAGTGAGATTCCTCAAATCCAATACCTTCCATTGGATTTTCCCAGTGCATCTACTAAACCCAACCACGAACAGCCAGGGGTCTTTAAACCCGAACTCCTTACGCTTAGCGAAAAAAGTCTCTTTAGTACCAAACAAGAGATGCCATCTCTTGCACACGGCTCTACTCGATACATGGCTTTGAACTGGAACCCGTAAAAGACAGTTAAGCGCAACATCGTCAGGTAAACCGGGAATCAAGGGTTCTCCTATAAGCGACAGTTCTAATTCCGATGATCTATCAAACAATGTCGATTGAATCGATGCTGCTACTCTAAATTTGGGAGATAAAGTCATCTGAGAATCACCAAGCTTATGCACAGCTGCTCTTTGAGATGAAACCCTAACCCTCTGCATCTTCTTCCTCTTCTTTTAACACTCAAATTCTCCACAAAAACAAGAGATTAAGCACTCATTTACTTCTATTCCAGATTCGAATGATCAGTGATTAACATTAAAACCAATGGGGAGTTCAAAGTTTCCAACTTTGGTTCCTCTACTCTTGTTTAACCTGAAATGGAGAATCAACACCATCACTAACACTAAGACTAATCAAATTCCAGATTTTGTAATAGAAATCGATTGAACTAGAATACAAATTCGAATTCAATGAATCAAACCCTAGAAGGAAAAGGGGCAAAAACAAACCAGCAGAAAGAAGCGAAATCGATGAAGAAACAGAGAAGCAAGAATTGATAGAACAAGTGATCGAAGCTCAAAACATTTAAAGATCAGATTTTTCCATTTTCTTACAGAACAAGGCGGCGATAGATTAAACACTGTTGTTTTGCTTCGTCGCGAATCTTTCAGCTCTTCCTCATTTTTTTTTTTTTTTTGTAAATTGGTAATTGAGAAGACGTAATCCAGAGTATATAGTAGTATTAAAATGTGTATCTATTTATTCATTTTAATTTTTAAGTAACTGCCGCAAATCTTTTCGTGTAGAAGAATCTGTAGATGTTCCTAATGATAGTTCTTTTGTAGGATTAATTATTATCTTATGAAGTTAATTAAGAATGATACGTGCAAATTAACAATATACAAATATATTTCCTTTTGAGGGTAATTCTAGGAAATGGGCTTAAGAATGGGCCTACACAGTATCATTTGCCCATACAATATATGGGTCTTGTTACATTTGGTGGTGATACAAAGGTAAATTTCAGTCTAGACGAAAATCTCAAGTTCACTCAGTTTTAGATAACATAACTTAATTCATTTTTGATCGGAAGATAGCTCTCACGATTACTAAACTGACATATAGTTTAGTAGTTTGTGTTTGTTATGTCGATATGTCATCATCTGTTTGAATTCGCATATTGTTGACGTAAAAAATGATAATTCAATAACTAAATTGTACATTTAATTTATATCTAAATGTAGAATAAGAATGATAGAAACAAAAGAAATGATGTATTGGTATTCGTCTAATAATGTATAAATGTCTTCGCGTGATTAAAGATTCATGACTAAAAATCACATCATTTATAATATGCAAGAACAATAATTCATTGATTACTAATTAATCTAAGCCAGTGTATACGAAATTATGTTTTAAAGTGCGTAAAAAAAATGTTTTAAAGTAGGTAATGTTAAATGATATCAACTGTTGTTATAACAGTAATTAAAACAACTAACGTACGTGAGACTAAAATTTAAGAGATTAATGAACTATGTGATCATCTCATTATATGCTGTGGAGATATATATTTATGGAGAGGACATGATCGCATTTTCCGTCAAACTCGAAGATAATCTTCTTTTTTTCCGTCCATCGAACATATTATAGCTAGCCTTCTAACATATGAATGCGGAGATATTTTTTTGGAGAAATCTTTTGAAATATATGCAAGTAGGGTACTACAATTTTTTAAAAAGAGAAAAAAAAAAAAAAAAGACAACAACCAATCAATATGATGATTATGACTATTGCTTGGTACTTGGTAGGTATTGGCCGTTGGTAGTTTTTCCGGTGAGTTATTCACTACCATAGGATTCTCTCAATTATTTATATTGGACAAAAACAAATAGTATATTGATTTTCAATATTTTTCTCCAAAACATTAAATGGTTGTATATCCTCGATTACTCAATCATTCAGCATTTTCAAGTAAAGTAATCAAATCAGAAAAAATCAGAAAATGGTCACGAAAAGATATGCATAAAGATCGTTCCATGTGCCAATAGTATCCAATATCCGAATTTTCTTGAATAATGCATGTATATGTCGGATTCTTGAATATTTATGTAAATGAGTTTGCCTCTTTAAAGTAGTAGATATAGACATGAGATCTTTCTAATGACAAGTTGTAATGATAAGTTGGTGAGATTTAATTTATTGTACCAACTTAGTCTTTATATAGCCGTATGTGCAGTCCATGTGGCTAACCGAATTATCCCTTATTGTTGTGTTTTGGCCATCAATCTATCATGTGTATACATATAATAAGAGTGTTCAACGCTACAAACTAATTCAATTCAAATCAAATAAAAAAATATGTAATAATCAATTTGGATTTTAATACGTTAATTTGACGTGGTTTTATTTTCGGTCGCAAAAAAAAAAAAAAATAAGAACCGAAACTGAAAAGAAAACCCTAAGCATAATTACTTTTTAAATGAGAAAGATTTTTACTAGAAAACTAAATTCGAATAAAAAAAAATCAAAATTGTACCAAATGTATTCATACTAAATTTGGTTTCAAATGGTTACTATAATGATTTATTCTTCTTTTTTTTTCTCTTTTCTTTTTCTACTAGCTATAATAACTTCAGAAAAACCTGAAAAGGTTTTTTGAGAAAAATAAAACCAAAATTACTAAATCAAAACCGAGTCCATATATACCTGATTAAACATTTTGATGCTAGGTCAAAATTTAAAGAAGTGGGTCGCATTAAAAAAATAGCTGAACAAAAGACTGGATCGACCATAGCATGACTTTCGAAGGTTACATTCTCAGAAAGTTTTTAAAAGACATCCACTATGAACCAAAAAAAAGGTGAGAAATAAAAGTGACAAAAAAATCTTTGTCATGAGGCACTAAGAAATGGGTGAAAGATGCCTTCAAAATTAACTTTAGAGAAACATAGTACATTTTGTCTCCAAACGATGAAGCCACTTGTTGGATTGTCACATTCATATACCAATGAGATTTCTTTTTACCTTGAAAGCCAATTTAGCCAATGAGATCTCTCGTTTTCTTACGAGTTGTCTGCCCACTCCTTTTATTTCCTTTCTTCATTTTATTTTTAAGTCAATATATAATTTTAATTTTCTATGGTTGTTTAACTATATTTACTCTCACTAAGCCCTAAAATAAATAGAGAGTGTAAAAAACATGAGTTTCCTTTATTTCTAGTTGTTAAAAATTCGATGTTCTACAAGTCAAGGGAAATTAGTCGAGTTTCTAATTCGGATTCATTCTTTTATTAAAAAAAAAAACTTGATATTCTGATTGTTCATAGTATTCACAAGTCACTAAGAACATTCCATATAATTAGGAACAAAAGATAGAGCAGAGAAGTCACTAAGAAATACACAATAACATTAATATAGAGTGAAAAAAAAAGAGACAGTGACTATAATATTATGTATACAGAAACTACTGATTGAAACCAACTTTTCAAAGTTGCTTTCAAGTCCACCTAAATTGGAGTGATTCAGACATTGGCAGTATCCAGTGCTAAAGCAAATTTGAAAGCCTCTCTGATCACTGATATGATCTGTCATGTTGTTTACTCATCAAGAGGACAAAATCAGTAAACAACTTGCATATATATTATACCTAGATGTATATATGTATATGAATGATTTTGGAATTGCTTCACTTGGTGTAGAATGGATGATTTTCCATTATTTCCATTACTGTTTTCCATTACGTTGAGTTGGCCTAGTGGTAAAGGGGTTGCAGTTGTAACTACCGCCACCTGGTTTCGATTCACGGTGGGAGGGACTATTTACAATGCTTGGGTTCCCGGCAAAGAGGTGAAACCACCTTTTTTTTTTTTTTTTTTTCCATTACTGTTATCATTCTTTTACAGTTTTTTTGTAAAATGGATTTCTTTTATACATTTATTTCATAATTTGTTCCATACACTATTAATACTATCATTATTGGGTTTTTTCGATATTAAGAAACAATAGATTTTTTTTTTTTTTTGATAACTCAGGGGAATCCCAAACCTATGGAGGGGCCCAGACTAATCCCCTGGGGGAGGTGCAGCCCACAGATAGACTCTCTCTCCGGGTATGCAAATGGGCCGAAAGCAAGGGCCCATATCCATGTGGCCAAGTGGAGATCTAACAATTGCGCGCTTGCGGGGAATCGATCCCTGGCCTAGACCAACAGGGCAACTCCTACACAAGTGGCAACCACTAGACCAAGAACACTTGGTTTTAAGAAACAATAGATAAGAGCAGTAAATGATAGGCGTAACTTTTACTTATAGCCAAAATATTTAGTTTACCAATCACATTATTAACATTTATGTCACGACGTTGTAAAAAAATTCCCTAATAGTTCGTCACTTCCGTTTCCCTCCATATGCTTATTTTTTGTTAAAAATTTGTTTTAAAATTTTTATATATGCTTAAATATCCTAAATTAAAAATATATATACTTTTAATTTTTAAAGCTTACTGTTTGCGTCTTTGCGATATGAATTTATGAAAAAACAAATAGTTATAAATTTTTAAGATATGTAATATTTTTATTTAATTGAATGACAAGGTTCAAAAATGAAATTAAATCACATTTACATTAATGGATACATTATTATATGTATATAGAGTTGAAAATACTAAAAAAATATTTATTTGTTGATACGAAATTTTTATAGCTTAATCAGTAAAATATTTATTCACAGAAGACCACAACTTAAACCTTATAGGTACAACCATTATAACTACAACCAAGTTTTACGACACAAAAATATAGTCCAACCTAGGCCTGGGCTTTAAATCCGAAAACCGAAATCCGACCCGAACCCGATCCGAAAAACCCGATTGGGATCGGATTCGGTTATGCTCTAATATCCGATCGGTTTGTATCTGATTTTATTTTCGGTTTCGGATCGGTTTATACCCGAACCGAAATTAATTCGGATAACCGAAGAAAACCGAAATTAATTCCCGTAACCCTAAAAAAACCAGTATATAAATACCTAAAGAAACCTAATGTTCACTCACTCTCTCATTTCTCTCGAGTCTCGACGGCGCAACACAAGTTCTCTCGAGTCTCGACGACGCTTTCAGACTCCGGCGACTCCGTTTAGCTCCGAGAAATCATTCAAAGGTAGTTTCTAGGGTTAGTCTCTGATTTGGTTTGATTGTTGTTGAGTTTTGGTTTGATATTTGTTGAGTTTTGGTTTCATCTTGTGTTTTCGTTTGATTATTGTTGAGTTATCGTTTGATTTATGTTGAGTTCTGGTTTCATATTCTGTTTTGTTTGATTTTTAACTCGATGTGGTTTGATTTTTGTTAGAGGTTTGGTTTCATCTTCTGTTTTGTTTGAGTTTGGTTTAATATCTCTGTTATTTAGATGGAGTTTGTTAGAGTTTTTAACTGAGCTTGTTTGTTAGGGTTTTTAACTGAGCTTGTTTGTCCAAGTTTGTTAGGTTTGGTTTTTGTTGGTTTTTGTTAATATCCGTTTGATATTAGTTTGAGTTTTGTTGAGTTTTAGTTTGATATTTGTTGAGTTGTTGGGTTAGTCTTCTGGTTTGGTTTGGTTTTTGTTGAGTTATAGTTTGGCTTTTGTTGAGTTTTAGTTTCAGTTTCATCTTGTGTGTTTGTTTGATTATTGTTGAGTTTTAGTTTCAGTTTCATCTTGTTTGTTTGTTTTAACTCGATGTGGTTTGATTTTTGTTAGAGTTTTGGTTTCATTTTCTGTTTTGTTTGATTTTTAACTCAAATCTCTGTTATTTAACTAAGCTTGTTTGTCCAAGTTTGTAGATGGAGTTTCCAAACCAGAATGAAGAATATGGTAATGAGGAAGCCTACGATGAGGGAATAGAAACTGAAGATGGTGGTTCTCCTGAAAATGCAAGCAAAAGGAAAGAGGTTCCTAAGAGTGCAGACAGTTCTGTCCGAGGTAGTAGGGCAAAGAAGAAGAATCCAAGTACAAGGTCTTGGGTCTGGGAGCATTACACAAGAGAGCCAGATAATAGGAACATATGTAGATGTCACTACTGTGGTAGATCTATGGCATGTGCTACTGCAAATGGCACAACTTGTCTCAAGAATCATTTGGAAATCTGCAAGGAGTACCAAGCTTGGATTGAGAGCAATCAGGGTCAACAACATGTTCTACATCGTTAAGGCGAAGGTGATGATGAGTCTAGTAAGTTGAAGTTGTCAAAGTGTTCTGAGTCTGTTTTCAGGGAAGCTTCAAATGAGATGCTGGTCTTAGGGGAACTGCCTCTTTCATTCATAGAGAGTTTGGCGTGGAAGCATTTCTGCAGCAAAGTTAAGCTATACAAGCCTCACTCTCGGAGAACAGCAACTAGAGACATTGTGGAGATGTATGTCAGAAAGAAAGAAGCTATGATGAAGCTTCTTAAGTCTAACAAGCAGAGGGTTTCACTAACAACTGATATTTGGGTTGCTCCCACAACAGGAGCTAGCTACATGGTTATCACAGCACACTTCATTGATGCAAGTTGGCAGCTGAGGAAGCTCACCATTGGTTTTAAGCACATCTCAGATCACACAGGTACAACAATTTGCTGTGTCCTTCTTGAATGTTTGGCTGAATGGGGAATAAGGAAGGTATTTACCATCACTGTTGACAATGCAACTGCCAACACTAATGCAATGGAGAAGTTTGTGGAGGCTTTTTGCTTACAAGGAATTGATGCATTAGTTCTAGGAGGTGAGCTTCTGCATTTGCGTTGTTGTGCTCATATCCTTAACTTAGTAGTTAAAGATGGGCTAGGAGAGGTGGAAAATAGTGTCTCTGCAATTCGGAATGCTGTTCAATATGTGAGAAGTTCAAGTAGACGATTGGAGTCATTCGAACACAAAGTGGACTCAGGGAAGATGACTAGGGGAAGCTTGTCTTTGGACTGTAAAACCAGATGGAACTCTACCTACCTGATGCTGACAAGAGCTCTCAAGTTCAGATCTGCTTTTGACAGAATGGAGAATGAGGATAAGCTCTACAATGATTATTTTGATGTAGAAGTCAGTGAAGGAAAAACCAGAATTGGGCCGCCTAGTGTCAATGATTGGGATGAAGTAGAAAGGTTAGTTAAGTTTCTGGTTATCTTCTACAATTCTACTTTGGTTGTCTCGGCATCTTCTACGGTCAACTCTTACAAGTGTTACAATGAGATAGTGACTATCCAGAAGAATCTCATTTCATTGAAAGAGAATCCTGATAAAGAATTGAAGGTAAAGGCTGAAGCTATGAAAAACAAGTTTGATAAGTATTGGGGAGGCTTGAAGAAAATAAACAAATTGTTGATCATAGCTAGTGTTTTTGATCCAAGGAACAAGATGAAGTTTGCAGGATATTGTTTTGATATGTTGTATGGGAAAGACAGTCCGGAATCAAAAGAGGTTTATGAATCAGTGTATAATGTGTTGAAGGATCTGTTTGATGAGTACAACAGAGCTGTGACAAGGACTGGGACTGCGTCATCATCACAGTCATCTCAGTCTCAGAATCACAGCCGCAACAACTCACAAGATACGGACAAGATGGATTTTGATGTTGATGGATATGAAAGAATGGATATGGCATACTCAGAGATGGTGAAGGAAACAGGATTTCAGGATTCAAGTACTGAGCTAGAGTTGTATTTGAAGGAGAAAATCGAAATCCCAAAGGCTAATCCTCTTGGAATACAATTTGATGTGTTAGGATGGTGGAGGATCAACAGTGCAAAGTATCCTGTTTTATCCACATTAGCTAAGGATCTACTTGCAATGCAAGTGTCTTCTGTTGCTTCCGAGTCTGCTTTCTCTACAAGTAACCGTATCCTTGATCCATTTAGGAGTTGTCTAACACACTACATGGTTGAAGTCTTAATGTGCACTGAACAATGGCTCAAGTGTGAGATTCGCATCAATGAAAGAGGTGTTGTTACCTGTCAACAGATGCTCGCGGATCTTGAGCTGCAAGATGATCTTCAGAAAGGTACTTCTTTTGTTTTCCTTGCTCTTTTTCTATTGTCTTCTGTTGGTTGCATTGTCTAGCTCTAACTTTCTGTGCTTTAATTATATTTAGAGTATGATGCTCCAAGAAACTTAGAAGACTACTAAATCTTGATTGCTTATCGGCTATTCGGCTTTGTTAAAGGTATTTGCTTCCTTCTTTTCATCTATGTTATTTCAGTTCTTTAATGTCTCTACTCTTACTAATCGACTCTTTTTGTAGGTGGCTAGAACTTGGTGAATGTTGAATGCTCAGAAGTCAGGTTCCATGTGTGGCAGGCTAGGACTTTGGATTCTGTGTTGCAAGTTTTTGTAACGTTCACTTTGGAGTTTGAAGTTGAACCTTTGGTTTTTAGACAATGTTGTTTTTCATTATGGATTCTGTGTTTCAAGTTTGGATTTTTGGATATTAGACTTTGAAATTTGCAAGTTTGAACTTTGAAGTTGTTGTTTTTTTTTGGTTTTTGTGATTTTTCGGATTTTTCGGATTTTCCGGTTTATTCGGGTTAGTAATCCGAACCGGATCCGATAATTAACATTTTCGGTTATGTCTCGGATAACAAATAATTTTACATAACCGATCCGAACCCGAACGAACCCGATCCGAATCCGATCCGAATACTACTCGGGTACTGTTCGGATACTAAACAACCCTATCCGATTAACCCGAAATCCGATTAACCCGATCCGTACCCGAATCCGAACCCGAACGCCCAGGCCTAGTCCAACCGATCATCCACCTATTACTGTTATAAATTATATAATTTAATAATATTTGATCAATTTATAATTTAAAACATTTTTTACTTTAATAAAATAAATATAGAATAAAAGGAATCTCGTTATCTTTAAGGCATCATATCAAAATAAAACGAACAAATTAAATGATTGTACTTAAGCATGTAGTGGGAGATTTATATTAGCTTGGATTCTGCCTATTTTTTGGTATTATATTACGCAGTGATTTGAGACACGCATAAAAATAATTATTCAAAATATTTTCTTAACATTGGCTATACAAGAAGCAAAGGGTTGTGAATGTGCATATATGGAAATGGATATCGTACAAGTTTTCCTACTTTTACCAAATTTGAATAAAGTTAGGTTTGTATCTAAAACTAAGAACCCACGAGACTTTTACTCAAGTACAAATTACCTCTTGCCAACCCAAAAATTGACCCTACACATGATCCTCAACTCTAATGTAATGTGCTGCGAAGACAGCTTTATATACATCTACTTGCACCACTACACATGCACTTCTATACATTTGTATGCATGTATATCAGTATATGTATGTACCAATGTCCATTTAGTTGCATACTTCGTCCTCTTGTCAGTTCATGATCAGATCGTGTATAGCTTCATTAATGTGACAAAACATGTCTGCATCTGCATGATAGAATAGGATCATAAGTGACTCATGTGGACATGGTTGGCTCTTCCATGTTAGGAATCTCACGTCGAAATTAAAATGTGATGAAATCTAAAATAATATATAATTGTCATGAGTAGATCCACTTATTACCAATATGTTTTAAGTTGGAAGTTTATAAAATTTAACACTATACCCATATATGCATGTGTGATTTTGTATATATATTATTTGTGTTATGGTTACATGCATACATCCGTTTCAATGATACTATCTTTTTTTATCGAATCATCCATTTCAATGATAGTATACAAGACTTTTAGAGAAAGCCTTAAGCATTATTATTGTTTTTATTAAGACTAAAAATCCTAAGTGAAAGTCATGCAAATTGTGGGGAAAAACATATAAGTTTAAATATTTAAAGCGTTCATATTGGAGAACCATGACTAAATTTGTTGTACGGAGACTAAAATGATGTTATCTCAATTCAAAAAGTGAATCATTATGTGGGATCGTTAAAAATCATATACCCCCATTCAATTAATTTATATTATAGGAGATATGGAAAGAATGTGATAGGCAAATTCACCATTTGTCTTCGACATGGGGTTCGTTAAAACTATATACGATCACTATAGAAGCTCTTCTCTTCCAACAGAGTAACTACGGTTTGTCCAGCACGCTAAAATTGAGATAGTTGTAGATTTTGTTTTCATAACAAGAGAAGATTACATACAAAGAGAAAAAAAATAGTATAAGGAGCTTATAAATGTTACATGAAATTGGTGACCAAGGAAACTCGTTTGTGGCTTCACTTTATACTAGCGACTATACGTAACTTTTCATCTAAAAAGTTATCAACTTTTTATGTTAGTAAACAGTTTTTTTGGTAACCATTTAAACATATAAGGCCGTGTTCTTTTGCAAGTCGCGAGCGACAGCTTCCGGCGACTGAAAATTACACTTCATTTCTTTTATTTCAGTCGCTGGGTTTTTTCTGTGGGAGTTTTTCTTCTCTAGATTCTCTGTCGCTCGTGATGGTGTTGCCGCTGTAATTTTCAGCGATCGATATTAGCCGACGCGGCGACTCAAATCTCTTCATCTCTCATCGGCTTTCACCTGTAACTTGTCGCTGGCTTGAGATTTAATTAAAAGTGAAGTTGTTTTTTGAGTCGCCCACTTGTGTCGCAGCGGCACACAAAAGAACACGGCCTAACTCATACTTTAAACTACGAATATTGTTGTATTTCAAAATTAGTTAAAATATTGCTGTATGTGTGATGTTTTTAGTACTACTACTACCTAATAGAAAATCAATGGCACATTTAAAGTTTCTCTTATTACAAATTGGGTTATAAATATAATAATCACATGGACAAATGATTTAAAAAATCCTACTTGTTATATATCGTAATTCTAAAAATACAATTTGAAAGACAAAAGAAAAACAGGGAGTAGGCAAGAAAAGAAAAGTAGGACAAGAGTGTTGATATACGACAGTAACATTAATCTCACAACCTATTCATCAGCACACCTCTATTGTCTCTACTCTTATTATAAGTTTCCTCAACGTGCGAACAAAATCATATTACATGCCAAAGTTTAAATAGTTTTGTAACCGAAAGAAAACACATAAACATAAACGTAGAAGTAGCTGTATATATGTATAGTATAAAGATTCAGTACTAGTACAAACAAATATAAAAGAAATTACCCAACCACGCATAGGAAACTTATGTCTTAAGTAAAAAATATAAGAAATTCACCGAAACAATGTGAGAATAAACGCCGAAAGGCATAACTACATTGGTCTACACATAGAATAATCATTCTGACATTTCAATATATATTAGTTGGTTATGTTTAGTTAAACATTGACAGAAATTTGGATATGTTTAGGAGAACCATTACAGAAATTAATGATAAGGAAATCAAAATGAAAAAATAAGAGACCCAAAGACCAAATTAGTCGTCACGTAGAAATTGAGTCGAGTGGACCCAAAATTGTAAGTCTTTTTTTGTATTTCTCTTCAACGGCCCACCTGCCCAACATAATTTCACGTGGACCGACCAATTTATAAAAACTGTCTATATACATTACTAAAATAAATTTTGCGGAACTTTCACACCCTTCCTTTTTTTCTTTCGGTGTAAATTTCTTACCCGATGCGCGCGAGTCCGGTTACTACAGTTTGAATAAGATTATTTTTTTGGCTAAAAAAGTTTGAATATAAGTTATTGGTAATCTTATACAGTAAAACCTCTATAAATTAATAATGTTGGGACCATGATATTTTATTAATTTATAGTGATATTAATTTATCTATAAATTAATTATTACACTTTAAATTAATATTTATTAATTTATAGAGATATTTTGTTTAATTCAAATTTTTAAAAAATATGAGTTGAGACAAGTCAATATACAGAAAATTAATTATTTAGAAGTTATAATTTTTGTAATATTAGAATTGAAAATTTAATATTTCAAAAAAATTCATTTGAAATTTAAATCACAATGACTATAATTAAATTCATTTATACAAACGATATACACAAATTAAATTTAAGTTTATGATTACTAACTTCAACTATCATAAATGAACAATGTTGTAGACTATTAAAACGAAAATAAAGCATACTAAGAAGTTGGAAACTAAAAAAAAATTATGGCTAATTGTATTACGAAGTTATAAACGATCCTATAATATGATAGAATAAAAACACAACATAATTTAATAAAAGTTAGAGACAAAAAATCTTGTTTGATACAATTAAAGTTCGAGACAAACTCTAACGAAAATTTAATAATTAAAAAAACATTAAAACCATATATTATATGTTATCTTATTTATATATATATATATATATATATATATATATATATATATATCTGTGATTATTAATTTATGATGTTATTGGGACCATATTTTTATATAGAATTTTCAAAAAATTATTATCTTATTATCTTATCGAATTTAGTTAATTTTTACATTGACCCGACTCGGGACCAGCATAATTTATTATTTTATCGTGTTTATTAATTTATCGAGTATTAATTTATAGAGGTTCTACTGTAATTTGTTTGACTAAACGACCAAATCCTCAAGTTGGTTATCTTCGATTTTTCTCATATCTTCATTAAAACCAATTAGAGATATATATTGTATAGAGACTTTCGAGCTTCGTATCAAAACTTTTGATTATTAATATTACGTATAGAAAGTTCAAGTTTTAGTACATGCGTGTAAACTGTTCTTATGCACTATTTTCAGGTTTATAAAAGTCAAATTGAGATTTTTAACATTTTTAATTATTTATGGAATTACTCCATGGTATTTTATTTTTAAAAATCATATTTAGGATACTACGCATGTTATATATATACCATGTTAGATCTCGTCTCTATTCACTATGAGATCTAGTAAACTTTTGATTTTAAGATGAAGACGAAATCAATCCAGCATCTCTCATAAATATCACTAGAAAGTTTGAACAGTCAATCGAATCAACTGAGTTAGAAATTTGGGATATTCACACCAAAAACTAAAGAGATAAATAGGACACCATTTTGTTATATTAATGACACCAAACTATTTGCAGCTTACCGATTGAATTGTATAGATTCCAGTGAATTTTCTAGCAACATACATATAGACAGTTTACGTACCAAACTACTTTATGATTTGTTGTAAGCGAGACAACGGACCTGGTCCTGGTTAGATCAAAGAAAAATATATATCGTCTGTAATTCAAGTCTAAACGATTCTTTTGACAAAAAAAAAAAAAAAGAAGTCTACACGATTTTTTTGTTCCTTTTTTGTATACCCGATCTTTCTCATGCATGTGATAGTTTCGATTTTCTGGAAGTTCTCATTCACAAATAATAAAGTCATCAAGTTATCGTTTGTTGCGTGTTTATTGATTGTATGTTTAAATGTCTATTGAATATTGATACGAGTAATTTTCTAACAACATTACATTTTCCATGTAAAAGA